TTTCTTTCTTTTTTATGGCAATGATCTTTTTTTATTTTAATTATTAGCAACAACAACAAAAAAGAAATCAACACAAATGTACACAACTCGGTAAATGGCTAAAAACATCAGAGGTAGCAAGATGGTAGCTGTGGAGGTCAGAATCCACTAAGGAGTGTGTAACAGCTCACCTGCCAATCAACTAGACCTGAATATGGATGACACTGCACCATCAGGCCCATACCCTGTGGTCACTGAAAGTCTGGGCTCTTAGTGGTGGATCACTCACCTCATGTGTCTATGAAGAACACAACCAGATGTGAGAATTAATGTGAATTGCCAGACACGTTGATCATCGACACTTCAAATGCACTTGTGGGCCTGGGTTAAAATGAAATAAGTAAATAAAACTAAAAGCATCAAAGGTATATCTACTTGGTGGAATATTCTGAAACTATTGAAAACAATATTATTAGAAATTTGTGATTACATGGTGAGTGTTTATATTATAATGTAAAATGAAAATAAAATGGATTAAAAGAGCAGATTAAAATCTAAGCATAGAAAATAAATTTGGGAGTGGAGGACCAGGAGCCACACCAAAATGCTGTAAGTAGTTTTTGTGAGGCCATGAAAGACTAAACATCCCGTAAGCTCCTAAGCTCCAAAGGCTTCCTTACGAGTGATTAGCGCACTGGTTCTCAAGTTGGGACACGTAGTGTGCTCTCATCTGTAACCTGTACTCAGAGGGCAGTTCTTTGAAACTGGAAGAAAGGAGGTGTACACCAAGATCCTGGGGACAGTTTGATAAAATCCTCCAGCTGATTCTGATATGCTGCCCTGAAGGGGAAGTGTCTCTTCCTTCCCCTTCCTTATACTCTACTTGCAAGAACCACTGGTGAGACTCTAAGCATAAGCATATTGTAGAATTAAGTACTATGCAATGACATAATGTTTTGACTGTATTTTCTGGTTTTATTAAAGGGATATGTGCATTGATCCATCAGTGAAACCAAAAATTCGAAAATTGTCTGAAACTTGTTTGGAACAACTTTTTGGACTGGATGATCAGCTGGTAATGATTAGTTACCAAGGATCCTAAAATATACAACTTTAGTTTTGATGAAAGTTTCCAAATTTCAGATTTTATGGGAAATGTGAGATCAGACTGTTTGGGATTTGGGAGCCTTAGAGAAGTGAAGGGACATCTCTCA